GCCAGCTTGGCTGTAACATCACTCGTCATCCACTGCGGAAGTCGACGTTTTGAAGTGGTGCTGGTGCTCGATGAGTCAGCAGCATTTGGCTGGGATGAGTTCGCACTTGACACATCCACAGTTCGCGATGAGCTGCTCGGCTGGGATAGAGATCCGACTGTATCTGCTTTCTGTGATGAACACGTTCGGAAGTTTGCTGACCGCAAAGCTGAATCAAATCGATAAGAGTTCCAATCCACAGGAGGAGATCGCTGATCTTGACTGTCTTCTACTTCTTTACCTTTGTTTTCTTCTTCTTCTTCGACACCATATTCATATTCCAATAAAGCGAAGATGATCTTCAAACGATTGTAATCTATAAATCCATCCGGTAACCTCTCCATTATTGGCTTCAATCGTATGATATCTGAAAAGACATGAAACGTTACAGAATAAATCAACTGACGGAAGTATTCTTCCACCACCTATAGGAATACTGCAAGAAGTTTACCGATAAACGAAAATAATACAATGGGGAAAAAAACGAACTCGAGAAACTGTGAAGGAATTTGAATCAAAAACTACGAGTAGCAAATAGAATGATACCTGATCCATGGTTCCGAATTGTTTCCAGTATAGTGTCTATATTTGACTGAGTGATTTGTAAAACATCCAAATGAATCGGCAATCCCAATTTCACGCAATTTACAATATATGATGCGATTGTTGATTCACTGACATCTCTTAACTGTGCTAAGGCTGCCTAAAAAATTCAACTAGGTTTCGTTCAAATTTTTAAAGAAGTCGGATTCTTTGAATCAAATAAATCGCATTAATTCGCAGAAATTAATTGGGCGACTTATTTGTTCCATCAAATTTGTTATTCGAAAACAAATGTTAATCGCAATTGTTCATTAAATTCAAATAACCATCAAAAACAAATGATTTTGAAAAACAACTTCACAACGATTATTTGCTATTTGGAGGCGAAAGAAACTGATAAAAATAATCAACGGAAATAAAATACCAATGATAGACGTTGCTTCACGTGACTTTGGTATACAATACGATTGGATTCAGCCAGAAAATTCATCTGCTCAATTAATTCACTAGGTATCTGAAACACGGTTTACTATACAAGCAATTGTGTTGCAGGAACGGAAAAAAGTCGGGGACCCCAGAAATGCGATCGGCTTGAAAAAAGTTGGGGACGGGGAATCACGGACCCCAAAATCCCCTGATCTCCGCAATATACTAATCCAAACGTTACAAGCTGAAACTGCACGCTATTGATTTGGGAACTATAAACCTTGAGTAGAAAAAAAAGGTAATAAAAATTTGAAGAATTGTTCAACGGAAGCAGCATATTCTGTTCACTGATCTAAAACAAAAAAGAAAAGGAGAAACAAACAAAATGGGAACCTTT